AACTCTCTCCTTGTAGGCCCAGCACTTAGGACTGATGACTCCTTTCGTCATGCATCGGTTTTGCGTGCAGCGTGTGCTCGTCACATGGTGCCGACATCTTCAGGAATCTCCAAATCAGTCCTCAAGCCTCGACACCCACTCTATCTGGCCGCGTTCAATGTCCGCACTCTGAAGCAAGCAGGACAACAAGCTGCTCTTGCACTCACAGTGGACTCGCTTGGCATTGATGTGTGCTGTGTCTCAGGAACTAGAATCCAAGATGCAGGCACAGTGATTGAGCTAACCACCCCGTCAGTCTCCACTCGCTCCCAGCTGCGCACCTATGGTGATCCAGAGGCTGCTGCAGTGGGATATGCAGGGGTCAGTATTGTACTAAGTCATCGGGAGGAAGTATCCTTACTTGACTGGATACCTGTTGATAGTCGCCTCTGTGCGTTTCGTCTGGCAACGTCTGTGAAAGAGTCTCACAAGCGACAAGTTGATAGATGTCTGTTTATCGTATCTGCCTATGCCCCAACTGAATGTATCTCCGACGCCGTCAGAGACAGGTTTTACGACACTCTGAATGCCCTGCTGCGGAAAGCTAAAAGCTCAGACATTGGGGTGGTTGCCGGAGATATGAATGAGCTAGTCGGCAGGTTTAGAGTATGTGAGACTCAGGAGGTCGATATGGATTGGACTCGGTACGTACGGACAATGGGGAACGATTGCTTCAGCTGTGTGCTGACCGCAGGCTGTTTTTCTGCAGTACTAACTTCCGAAATAGCCGAAATCGTCTGGCCACATGATGTTTCCTAACGGCATGCCGGCCACAAACTCAGATCGATCGCACTGCCATCGGTTACCGATGGCGTGGATCAATAACTGACTGTCACTCGTTTTGGAACACATTTGTGGATTCCGACCACACACTCGTCCGGAATCGCTTCTCCCTACGTTTTTCTGGGTCGCATAAATCGCTTGGCAACTGAGAGACTGGCAGATCCGGATGTTAGACGAATTTACCAGAATCATCTTCTGGAATCTTTTCTAAGTGTTCCATCATCAGATGTGAACGCAGATGGGTACGAAGGAGATCATGAAACGCTTGGGTGCTGTCGGTGCTACTCGCCTTCCAGGATTGGAACCGCGTGATCCTCGCTGCGCCTGGTTGGAGACGCTGTAAGATATGGCTGTCAACCGATGTCAGTGGCGTTCTTGTTGCCAATTTCTATCCAGATTGCCTGAATGAGTGTTTGAAGGTGTAGACACCTCGGAATGTTTGTGGTAAGCTTGCACTAAGTCCCTTACCCGTCCACCTTTATTCTTTTCTTTACAATAAGGCTTTCAAATAAATCATGGTTGTACGGCAGTGAAGCATCGGTGTTGAACACTGATGTCATGTTGTCGATGATGATGGTTGTTGAATTACTCCATTGGTAAAAATCACATTTAGTCGTAGCAATGATCATTCATGATTTGTGTGTTCACCAAAGTACGCAGTACCCGGCGTATGGAGATTTGGGCTGCTACAGTATGCATTGAAAAGAATGAAAAGAAAAGGACCTGATTAAAAAGCGTCGGAAGCGATATCTAGCTCAGTTCATTGACGGTGTATAGTTCTGTTTGTCCGGTGTGATGGTCGCTGTGGAGGTAACAATTAATGGGATAACTCTGATACCCGAAACGTTATTAGTTACGGACGGGTTTGGTTTGGTTATATTTGTCTTATATTGCCTTGCGAGCTGTCGAACAGTCAATCCGGATCTTGAATCATTAAAACGTTAGTACAATTTTTCTTCCACACACGTAACCCCGGATACTATCATGTGGAAGGTCACACTCGCATTTGTGATTTTACCAATAGCATTGAAAAGGGGATCGACGGACGGACAATGGAGAGTCGCGTTCGTACGTGTGCACACACTGTTTGTATGCAAAGGAGGAAACAGTCCAATTACGTCTGGTCGTTCAACCAATGTTTTGGGTTTGACCTCGAATGTTCGATATTATATAGGACGTTGACGCGTTCCACGAATAATTCCTTGTAGTATTCTGCCTAGCAGATGCAGTCGTTCAACGTGATTTTATTCAGTCTTATTCTGTTCACATCAGACTTCGCGGATGCTGTGAGCTTCAGAGATTGCGGTAAGATGCCAGAGTAGACGAAGTGAAGATAGTTGTGATTTTCAACTTTTATTAGCAGTTGAGTTTTAACAGATTCCATGATTTTACACACAAGTTTTATCAAGAAGACAGTGAGACTTCGTTTACGTTAGGGTTAACGTATTTTGTTCAAGTCGCTTGCCGCGCTCCTGGACGGCATGAAAATTTTGGTATTGCTGTCAGGTTTGGGAGTTTTCCATTCTAAACACAAGCTTTGGGTTTTCGAGGATTGGTGTTCCCCTGTATACCAGGCTGTGTACCTGGGGTATTCCAAGAGATATTGAGTTTTTCTTAGCTTAAAATACTTCTGACTTGACGGCAGACTGCTGTTTTATCAGGAATTTCTCCTCCAAACGAAAAAATGTTCCCATAAGCGTGGTCTACGCCAAAGTGATGGGGGATTCGTGGTTGGCAGACTGACATGTTTTCTCATTTGTAGACGTTTTTGGTCATGTGATGCATGTCGGTAGCTGACTTTGTGAATACGTTACCCGTTGTTATTTATGGTACTATGCTTGTTTACGGTGAATAAAGCTTTCCCAAACACCAGTTAAACACACACACCCACCCAACTGCACAAATGCATAGCAAGCGAACTGGTGAGTGAAAAATGGTAGTCGTGCCATAGCCCGCTCTGTTGAATGTAAACCTTTAGCGGACAAACTGACGAATTGCGGCTGATGACCAAGAGTTCCTGTTTGCCTTACTAGAATGGCCACTTTCTCATGCGTTTACTTTTATTTGAGGTTCAACCAACGTTGTCGTAACGTCCGTTGACGTGTTCCCGTGCGCCCGCGATCCTTGCACGCTCGTCAAAGGGACAGAAGTTACCATCCGCATTCGATTTCGAGGAAGTGAGTCCCCATTTGCACCTTTCGTAACCTTCCTAGATTCCACATAACGAATGATTTGGTTCAAGTATGGATGAATAATTCAAATAAATGAGCTCACGTAAAGCCTCACTTTGATAGGCATATCGTTTTACAACCTTTCAGACTTTTCCCTGAGGAGCTGTACTGGGCTTAGAGCAGACGCGGTTGTGACTGATCCCGATTGTGCTGGATACAGTTTCTGATAATTGGCGACATCGTATCAAGTGGTAGAGAGCCGCAAAGATTGCGGTTATCTGGGAAGCGTAATGACAGTATTTACTAATCTTTAGTGTTTGCCACCTTTGGAAGAACCAAGTGGCCTATTTCAACCATTAGTAACAAACACATTACCATTCAGTGTCCGGTTTCCCACACTGTCAAAACTGACGGATCACTTTTTTGCACTTCTCTCTAACGCCTATTCCAAAATCTAGTGGCTAGAATCATTCCTGGAGGCGCAAGATTTGAAGGCTCCTTTGACGGGGAGCCCGCGACGATACCGTTTCCACCTAATGGCGTTTGTACCCGCCTAAATCCGCCTTGTCCAATCCAACCGGGGCAAAGTTATACATATCATTACACGGCAGTGGTGCCAGAAGAACTTCGAACAGTAAGTCAAACAAAAAGATGCATTTCTGTTGGATAGCTATGTGAGATATCGATTTCGGTTACCTTGGCTACAGGTTGGCATGTCTGGAACCACACGGTCGATTTTGTGGCACCACAAATGCGTAAGCCTCTTCCACAATCGACAGGCCCCGCTAATTCGGATCGTACAGTTTCCATGTTTTCATTTAAGATTTTTGTGTGTGGCTTATATTTTTGAGCACTTTTTAACTATCGGAGTATTTCGTTCCTATCAGGTGAGTAACAAATACTGCGGACGAATAGACAATCACATTATTGCAGAATGATTTTTTGTGCCAAGAACGCATGCAGCAGGAGGCTGTAAAAGTGCACCACGCTGCGCGTAATTGTTGCCTGCTCGCACCTGTAACTTTATGCGTTGCATAAATTTCTCTTTTAGGGTCTACTGTATGTCGAGTGGAGGCTACTGAATACCAACATGGAGTCATTCCTGTGCGTCGAAATCTTGGTGCGAATCGCAGAGGCGCCATGATAGAATTAAAAAAAACGATTGTATATTTCGGAACTTGAGGTCATAATGCACTACTATTTAAAAAGCGTTTGTCCCTGATAACTGCCCTATGGAAGGAAACCTTTGCTGTTAGGTGATGCAATGCATAATTCTGATGTTTATGAGTAACTGGGGTCAAACTCGTGAATCCACCGGGGCGAAATTGGAGACGTCACCTACTGCGTCATCGACGGTAGTTCAATCCTGCAGCGCCTTTCCCACTTTGTTACTTTCACCTGCTCGTTTGGTTCACG